GTACACTAATAGGGGGTAGGGTTGGTAGGGGTACACTAATAGGGGATAGGGTTGGTAGGGGTACACTAATAGGGGGTAGGGTTGGTAGGGGTACACTAATAGGGGATATGGCTGGTAGGGGTACACTAATAGGGGATATGGCTGGTAGGGGTACACTAATAGGGGATAGGGTTGGTAGGGGTACACTGATAGGGGATAGGGTTGGTAGGGGTACACTAATAGGGGATAGGGTTGGTAGGGGTACACTAATAGGGGATAGGGCTGGTAGGGGTACACTAATAGGGGATAGTGTTGGTAGGGGTACACTAATAGGGGATAGGTTGGTAGGGGTACACTAATAGGGGATAGGGTTGGTAGTGGTACACTAATAGGGGATAGGACTGGTAGGGGATAGGACTGGTAGGGGTACACTAATAGGGGATATGGTTGGTAGGGGTACACTAATAGGGGATAGGGTTGGTAGGGGTACACTCATAGGGGATAGGGCTAGTAGGGGTACACTAATAGGGGATAGAGCTGGTAGGGGTACACTAATAGGGGATAGGGTTGGTAGGGGTACACTAATAGGGGGTAGGGCTGGTAGGGGTACACTAATAGGGGATAGGACTGGTAGGGGTACACTAATAGGGGATATGACTGGTAGGGGTACACTAATAGGGGATAGGACTGGTAGGGGCACACTAATAGGGGATAGGGTTGGTAGGGGTACACTAATAGGGGATATGGCTGGTAGGGGTACACTAATAGGGGATAGGACTGGTAGGGGCACACTAATAGGGGATAGAGCTGGTAGGGGTACACTAATAGGGGATATGGCTGGAAGGGGTACACTAATAGGGGATAGGGTTGGTAGGGGTACACTAATAGGGGATATGGCTAGTAGGGGTACACTAATAGGGGATAGGGCTAGTAGGGGTACACTAATAGGGGATAGGACTGGTAGGGGTACTTTATACACAAGTAAGCGGTTTCCCTGGTAGCAAACAGAAGCTGAGAGGGGCAAATCGACGCGGACTCTTGCAGAACGACTCCGGGTAGCCAGCGGCGGTCATTCAACACGATCCCTCGTTCAGCAGGTTTCGCGATTCGACTCCGATTCGGTTCACGATTCCTTTTCCCCATCGGTTCCCGCGGGTTTGTGGAATCGATGGATCCTGCTTGGTTTCAAATGAGGGACGTTACGATTCGTCGATTAACACTAATCGACTCGTAGCTGCGATATGCGATTACCGGATGAGTCCAGCAGCAATATTTTGATTCATGAATCTCTCCCGCAGGCAGTTTCAGTTTATTTATTTATTTTGGTATAGCCCTGTGAGCCATTCGGCTCTTGAATCGGGTGCAACCACAACAAACAAGACAAAACAGAAAAACACGAACAAGAACAACATCATAATCTTCGTTTTTTCGGTAAAGTCACGTTGAAGGGAAACAACAAAATAATGAAATATATATAAAACAATAAAAAAAATTCTCACGACGTTTCGACCATAACTCAAACGGTCGTCTTCAGGTGTGTTGGTTTGCATAAATTTATCTTTAAACGGCGCATTTATTTATTTATAATAAAAAAACACAACATCTTAAAGCGACTTTGTGTGACTTGTGCAAACAGAAAATCCATGGGGAAAAAAAAACAACAGCAGAAATATTCCTGAAAAAAAGCACCGCACACCAACGTGGCACAAAGAGTCGTCTCACCTACGACTCGAGGCGGGTGGACTTCTCCACAAATCTGGCCGTCCGCCTGACGAAGCTGGTTGTTAATTCCTGACGAAACGTCGTAGCTTAGGATTGTAAACGTTGATTTGAAGCCTTTCGTGACTGTAGATTACTGTAAACTAATGTTTTTTTACCCTTTTATCTGGCAACAAAACTGATACCTTTTTTTTACAAGGGATATTTTTGCATTAACCACAATACCTGCGGTCAAAATACAAACAACAACAAAAACTCTGATTAAAAATGTTGCGTGGTATACAGTAGGGTTGGTAAATAATACATAGTGTAATATTACAAGTCTAATATTATAATCTAAGGTAATGTATAGTAACGCAGTGTTTAATTCAATGTTGGGGTCTGTCTATGGCAGTTTATTATACAAAGATTAGTTGGAGGCATATAATAATCTTTGCGACGTAGAAGTGTAATGTATAATGACTTATTGTTGGTAGCTCAGCTTAGTGGAGAATATATTGAGTACATTGATTATATTGATGTAGTTTATATTTAGTTCTTTCACATCGGTTTATTGTATGATTGTTGGGTAGTTACAGTTCTTTAGCGTCAATATACTACATGCCTCTGTTGATATATAAACTCTGACTTTAACATAGCTACTTCCGTGACCAGTCACATGCTATTCCCTCACACTAACATCATGCTAATCTCCCAGTTGCATGCTAATTTCCCGACTTTAACATCCTGCTAATCTCTCACATTAACTTAGCTACTTCAATGCTAAATTCTTCTGTTGATATGTAAACTCTGACTTTAACATAGCTACTTCCGTGACCAGTTACATGCTAATTCCTCACATTAACATCATGCTAATCTCCCAGTTACATGCTAATGTCTGACTTCAACACCCTGCTAATCTATCACATTAACACAGCTACTTCAATGCTAAACTCCTCTGTTGATATGTAAACTCTGACTTTAACATAGCTACTTCCGTGACCAGTTACATGCTAATTCTTCACATTAACATCATGCTAATCTCCCAGTTACATGCTAATTTCTGACTTTAACACCCTGCTAATCTCTCACATTAACACAGCTACTTCAATGCTAAATTATTCTGTTGATATGTAAACTCCTTTGTCAAGGCGCTCTGCTCCATCCCACCCAGCTTAAAAAACGCTGCCAAGCTTAGCGGTGTTCATTGGAGCGCTGTCTTCCCGACAGTTCTGTTCCTTCACCTGAAGAAGGCTACTTGTGTTGTGGCCGAAACGTGAGAATTTTATTTAATTATGTTTTATTTTTATTATTTCCCTTCTACGTGACTTTACCGAAAGAACCAAGAATATTAACTCTGATAACGTAAATTTCGATTTAAAGCTTTCGTGACTGCAAGGATTCATCTTCCTTGGTTCTTTCGGTAAAGTCACGTAGAATGAGAATAAAATAATAAATTGATAATGTATGCAATGTCCTGATGACACCAAAAGGCGTCATCTCTGGTCCAACACCACGTGAGACTGGGCTCTAAGAAAAGCTGTCTCGGGTGTGGACCAATCAATTTCAAGGACAATGCATAAATTGTCAGTGTTGTCTTTTTGTTTGAATTTTTACCGCAGATATTGTGGTGAATGCAAACATGATCCCTTGTTAAAAAAAGTATCAGTTTTGTTGCCAGATAAAAGGGTAAAAACTCTATTATTATATTTTGTTACTGGCAAAGGAGGTCTCATGATGAAGTATTGTAAACGTTTCAGTTTCATTTCCAGTTTAATTTATTTGGTATAGCCCTGTGAGCCATTCGGCTCTTGAATCGGGTGCAACCGCAACAAATAAAAAAATATGAACAGGAAAACATCTTAAAGTGATTATGTGACCGTGCAAACAGAAAATCTAGGAAAAAACAGCTAAAATATTCCTGAAAAAGCACCGTACACCAACGCTGCGTGCAAAAATCCCAGTGGGATGCAAGTCAAACAACAACAACCACAAGACAACTTAGATTAAGGCCATCAGTCCAACTCCGTACTACAACAAACAAACATGGCCAAACCAAAAAACGTTTTCGAAATCACCAAATGAAAGCCATAAATACAATGGAACAGTGACTATAGGGACTGTGACCGGATTTTTAACAATAAACTACATAAATAAAATGTAACACCAAACCCTAGAGCCATAGCTGGCTGCATGAGTCACTCCACAAACAACAGGAGCATCAGTCGGAGTATCAACATTTTTCAATGCAACTTTAAAGATCAGCACACTAAACGTTGTGGCTTGGCTCTCCAACACACCGCTGGTGCTGAATTAGCTCCGACTTGGCCACGTTCTGTTTACGTTACAAAACTTACCATTGGCTGTGGCGGTTTTAACGACGCATTTATTTACGCGATCTAACCCAGAAAAAAACACATCTTAACGGATGATCGTGTTTTGATTTAAAGCTTTCGTGACTGCAGGGATTCATATTCTTGGTTCTTTCGGTAAAGTCACGTAGAAGGGAAACAATACAATTATAACAGTGATCTGCCACGGCCGAGGTGTTGGTCCTACCGTGTTTTAGGTCTGCGTTGTGTTCACGACTGCGGTCCGAGACATGTCGTTTGGTTTGGAGAACAAAACGACATGTCTTATAATTCAGTAGGCTCACATGACATTGACTTCTCCAAGACACAGGTTCGTTGCAAGCCATCTGGCCACCATGAGAGATTCGTGCATGAGGCTATCCACATATACAAACACAGAGACAATTTCAACCGAGAATATGGATTCTGGCTTAGCAATCATTGGAAGGATTTGATAAACCATTTCGGGTCTTAATTGATTGATCACGCTTAAGGTAGCTTTCAGACCGCATACATTAATTTTTCGCCTCCCCCCTCCTCTTTTCCGAACATAGATGGACTCGTCCATCTGAATGACTGCCAAATCGCTCTCCGTGGTGCTAACGTTAAAAATAAAAACGCCACTTTTTTCAAATTTTCTTGTTGTGGTTTTCACATCTGATGGTGATTGCTTGTGTTGCAGTCGAAACGTCGTGAGAATTTTATTGTTTTATATTTTTTTATTATTTTATTGTTTCACTTCTACGTGACTTTACCGAAAGAACCAAGAATAGGATGATCGTGTATTTAGTAACAATGGGTTTAGTTATAATCGATTCTCTTGGAATTGAATTACATCGATTTTGGAATCGAATTGGATGGCGAACGAACGATTCGATACGCCGATTTCGATTTCAAACCACTGTCGATTCTGCATTCACCGCAATAGCCCAATAAAAGAAATCGATCCAAAATTAACTTTTATATGAATTGGAATCGCCATCAAGGCGTCGCAACATCAGCCGGAGTAGCGTGCTGGAGGAGGTAACGCGGGGCGCGTCACGCTCCTCACCTCGTCACTCTCACCTCGTCTCCTCCTCCTCACCATCTCTTGCCTTCACGCCCCGATCGCACCCGAGCGAGAGGAGCGACGATGTTGGGTGTCGCCATTCTCACCGCGCTGCTCGCCAGCCTCGCCACCGTCGCTATCCAGCTCCTCCTGCTGCTGCGCTTCCTCTCCTCCACCTCCTCCTCATCCACCTCCTCATCCTCCACAGCCACCTACCCACCCCGTGGCGCCGTCACCACTCGCCACCCCCGATTGCTTTCCTTACTCCGCGGCGCGGCCTTTACCACCTCCACCACCACCTCCACAACCACCACCACCACCCCGCTCTCATCCAGTTCCTCCACCACCACAACAACCACATCATCATCCTCATCATCCTCCTCCACCACTTCCACCACATCAGCATCATCAGCAGCATCATCGTCGTCGTCGTCGTCCCCGTACGAGGCGTGCCGCTGCTTGAACGCGCTGCTGCTCAGCGTCTTCTCGGAGCTGCGCGGCTCGTCGGAGCTGCGCGCCTGGGTCACCCGCAAGATCCACGTGGAGATGCTGGAGCTGCTGCAGGCGCGCACCGCGGGGCGGCTCGTCGAGGGCCTCAGCCTGCGCGACGTCTCGCTGGGCGACGCGCTGCCCGTGTTCCACGCCGTGCGGTGCACGGCGCTGCCGCGCAGGGACAGCGCCGGGCACGCGGCGCAGCAGGTCAGGAGTGCTGTTGTTGTTGTGTTGTTGTTGTGTTGTTGTTGCCTGCGCGACGTCTCGCTGGGCGACGCGCTGCCCGTGTTCCACGCCGTGCGGTGCACCGCGCTGCCGCGCAGGGACAGCGCCGGGCACGCGGCTCAGCAGGTCAGGAGTGCTGTTGTTGCTGCTGTTGTTGTTGCTGTTGTTGTGTTGTTGTGTTGTTGTTGTGTTGTTGTTGCTGCTGTTGTTGTTGCTGTTGTTGCTGGTGTTGTTGTTGTGTTGTTGTTGTTGCTGTTGTTGTTGTTGTTGCTGCTGCTGTTGTTGTTGTTTTGTTGTTGTTGCCCACCGAACAACTGCCCCGTGCCACCACCGCCTGTCGCTCGCCACCTGCACCGTACCACCACCTGGCCCGTACCACCACCTGGCCCGTACCACCACCTGGCCCGTACCACCACCTGGCCCGTACCACCACCTGGCCCGTACCACCACCTGGCCCGTACCACCAGCTACCCCGTACCACCACCTGGCCCGTACCACCACCTGGCCCGTACCACCACCTACCCCATACCACCACCTGGCCCGTACCACCACCTGGCCCGTACCACCACCTGGCCCGTACCACCACCTGGCCCGTACCACCACCTACCCCGTACCACCGCCTACCCCGTACCACCACCTGGCCCGTACTGCCACCTGCCCCTCGCCACCACTTACCCCGTACCACCACCTACCCCGTACCACCACCTGGCCCGTACCACCACCTACCCCGTACCACCACCTGCCCCGTACCACCACCTACCCCGTACCACCACCTGCCCCTCGCCAAGATGAGTTTGGACTGTTTTCTCCTTCCAGGGGAAGTGGGTGCAGGATGAAGCTTCTTGTCTGTTAAGTTCGGTACCGACTCCACGGTGAGCCTGGCTGGTCTGGGTTTTAACCGCCAATGTCTTAAAGAGAGAACCGATTTATAAAGCAAAAAAAAAAGAGCAATGCCTGAAGGATCTTCCCTTCCGTTTGTCCGTCCGTCCCTTACGGGGTGTGTGTGTGTGTGGGTGTGTGTGTGGGGGGGTGCGTGTGTGTGGGGGGTGTGTGGGTACGAACACAAGACGGCCGACGACGAGGCGGCGGAACTACCGGACGAGCTGGAGCTGGAGGCGGACGTGGAGTACACGGGCGGCTGCTACGTGTGCGTCCACGCCGAGCTGGTGTTCGGCAAGCGCGCCGAGCTGTTCGTGCGCATCGCGCGCGTGCGCGGCCCCCTGCGGGTGCGGGTGACGCGGGCGCCGCCCCTCGCCCACTGGAGCTTTGCGTTCACGCGCGACCCCCGGGCCGAGCTCGAGGTGCGCTCTCACTACGAGGGCCGCCCCATGCCGCAGCTCACCACCGTCATCGTCAACCAGATCAAGAAGGTGCTGCGGCGGAAGCACACCCTGCCCAGCTACAAGATCAGGTGCGTGCAGCACCTAGCTAGGAGGGAGGACGAGGACGAGGAGGAGGGACGAGGAGGAGGAGGAGGAGGAGGGAAAACAAGTGGGTTGTTTAGCAATCCGACGTGTAGGTTTTGATTTGACTGCAGGGATTCATCTTCTTGGTTCTTTCGGTAAAGTCGCCGCGTAGAAGGGAAACAATAAAATAATAAAACGTAATAAAATAAAATTCTCACGAGGAAGGCTTGCTTGTGTTGTGGCCGAAAGGTCGTGAGAATTTTGTTTTGTTATGTTTTATTTTTATTATTTTATTTCCATTCTTTCGGTAAAGTCACGTAGAAGGGAAACAATAAAATAATTTAAAAAATAAAAAAATATATTAAACAATAAAATTCTCACGACGTTTCGACTGCAACATAAGCAATTATCATCAGGTGTGAAAACCACAGCAATTATTTTTTTTATTGTTTCCCTTCTACGTGGCTTTACCGAAAGAACCAAGAATATGAATCCGACGTATGTACGGAGGAGGAGGAGGAATGTTGTTCGGTGAGCAACCCCACGTGTTTTTGCTGCCGTCTGTTAGGCTACTTCTCGGTCCAGCGGGTAAGGAGTTTCGCACGCAGTGATCTCTGCGTGATTCCCCAACCCCCCACCTCCGTGAAGGCTGGATCGTGGGTGCGCGTCACCACGCCCACGTGTAAGCTGGGACGATCTGCGTACGGCTTAACACTGCGTGCCGGGATTTGTTATTGGCTGGAGACGTTCCGTAAAGAACCCAAAGGCGGAAAGCACAGCGCCTGTGCGATTGCGTCTTGTGCGATATGAATTACTCCGATTCCAAGTGCGCTTACTACTTGCACTGCCTCCTCATGCATGCTAATGACGGTATAGCCCACTGCTGGATGAATACTGTTGCCATGCTTTTGTCGGTCCAAAGGGTGTTACCTCGCCATACTTCACCACGTTGGTGCTGGTAAATGTTGACGGGGGCGGGGGGCGAGCTGCTGAGGACTGGTTTCAGATCTACCTTGCTCGCCGGCGACGGTGTGAGCACCGTCCAGGAATCAAACTCGGGTCGACAAACATTCATAGTCTTCTTTGGTTCTTTCGGTAAAGTCACCACGTAGAATAAGTTCTGTACCTTTCACCTGAAGACGGCCGCTTGCGTTGTGGCCGAAACGTCGTGAGAATTTTATTGTGTTATGTTATTATTTTATTCTCATTCTACGTGACTTTACCGAAAGAACCAAAGAAGATGAATCCTTGCAGTCACGAAAGCTTCAAATCGAAACATTCATAGCCCAGTGCGCCGACCGCTCTTGCCACCGCTCCAACGCCGCTTTTCACCGATGTGCATGTTTGAAATTAGTTTACGCTTGACACTTGGTTTTTTTCCTCGCGTTTTTCTGCGTAGGTACAAGCCGTTCTTCCCATCGCACGTTCAGGGCGACGGCGCCAGTGCGAGTCTTCCGGTGGCCGAGCTCAAACGAGGGACTCTGAAAGTTCAGCTCGTAGGATGCAGCAGGTAACCACTTGGGGGGGGAGGGGGGGGGGGGGTGTAAAAAAAAAGAAAATCGGCAACCCGCTTGGTTTATTTAACGCGCTTCAACGTCATAGGAAGTGGCATGGGTGCCGGCAAAGAGCAGTCGGTTATGCAGGAGGTCGTGGGTTCGATCGCTCCCTGATGCCTATTGTATATCTGGAGGGTATGCGTGTTCTCCCCGTGGTCGCGTGGATGTTTCTCCGGGTCCTCCGTTTTTCTCGCACCACATAATTAGAATCAACGTCGCGCGTTTAGACTATTTGGCTGCTGTACGTTTCCACGCAATGATAAGCCCACTTCGTTTGGCTATCATTTGTGATAACCAGGTCGCTTCTGAAAAAGAGCGGCGTACCTCGGTGGGCCTTACCTGGTGAAATAAAAAAAATAGTTAATTGCGGCTGATCTCACCCCCTTTTCTCCCTTTGCTCCAGACTCCTTCTTCCGACTGCGCCAGACAGAGACACCGACGTTTACTGCAGCCTGGAGCTGGCGACCACCAAGTGTACAGGAGGTGTGAGGTTCCTCTTCATTGAGGTGTGTATTCCCCTTCGTTTAACGCTAGTCTTCCACATATATATGGATATAAAATTCCACTTCCCATCAAATCACAAGGCCTTCTGGGAGTGCATAACGTTCATCAGCAGAGCCACACTTGCTTGAACCATTCCTGGTGAACTGGCAAATGTCAACGGCAAAGGCCCGCTCTCTAAAATGTGTGGGTCGCTCTCTCTCTGAAGTATGTGTACATCTTGTAAATATAGTTATCTGTACAGCCTTTTGGATGAGGGCCTCCCCATGCCATGCAGGTCATGGGGGTTATTTGACCATATTTCACCACGCTGGTTGGCGTAGATTGGTATATGCGGGGAGCACAGGTGTGTGCATAATCTATTTTCTGTCTTTTTATATTTATCTAGTTGAAAATACATAGTTAATACAACGCTCATCATCAATACCATAGGTCTCTGGTTCTTGCAGGCAACTTGAGCCCTTGGCCAACTCCGTACGGAAATGACGCAAAAGTCGGTGCTGCGACTGTGAAGGTTGCCGGCGAGAATGGAGCGCGTGTACAAGCATGTGTCTGTGGTTTTTATTTTCTTGTTCCTCACGTTCACGCAGATACAAATATCGAAGGGGACCTCGCCGCTCATAGGGCTCACGTTCCGCCAGATCTCCGTGCCGGACGGGGATCCGGACCTTGTGGTGGTCTCCACGGTGGTTCCCAACACGCCCGCCGCGGGCGCCGACGTTCGCAAGGACGATCGTGTCGTGTCCATCGCAGGTCCGGTTTTTTGTCGCTCTGTCGGGTACCCCCCCCCCCCCCCCTTCAATTTATTTGCGGCCAGCCGCTCCCCCGTTGGTGACATAATAGAGCTGCCTACTGACGCTCGCAATCGTCGCTACGGCCGCTCTCTAATCGTCGCTCTGTCATTTACAATCTGAGTATGACGTTTCGCCAGTAATTACAACTAGCATCATCAGGTGGACAGCCAGATTTGTGGAGAAATCGTCGTGGCTTTGCTCTCCAACACACCGGTGTGCTGTACAAGTAACAAATTGTCATGCTTTGTTTACGTGACAAACCTTACTAATTGGCTGTGTCGGGTGGTGGCGGGTTTAAACACATTCCTGCGGAGGGAGCTGGTAGGAACGTTGGGTTGCTCGGTCAATGGCCAGGGTCAACGGCGGCACCACGTGGTGTATTCCACAAACATGCCCGACTGTGAGGGCGGGCACAAGCCGGCGTGAGTAGGTTAAACGTTGAGTTTTATAAGGGCACCACGGGGTGACCAGCACCTCCCCACCCAGCCCCACCCCTCCCACCCCCCAGCCAGCCCCACCCTCCCCACCCAGCCCCTCCCTCCCCACCCAGCCCCTCCCCACCCTCCCCTCTCCACCCAGCCCCACCCCTCCCATTTTTGGATGCACGACGGACGGACACAAAAATCCCCTGTGGGCTGGTGGTGTAACCAGGAGGTTCCTACCACTATCATTAACACTTTTATATATTTATGCAGTCTAACCCAAAAAACACCTGTATTATGGACATGGCAGTGTTTCTAGGTGGCGAGATGTTAACTCCCTCGCCTGGTATGTCGGAGGCCGTGGGTTTATTCCCAACCCTGACACCTGTATACGTGGAGTTTGCGGTGTCTCACTCCCTGTGGTCGTGTGGAATTTTCTCTCGGGATCCTCCGGTTTTTCCCTCCATTTAGATTCACCGTCACGCGTGTAGAGCATTAGAATCACCGTCACGCGTGTAAAGCATTAGAATCACCGTCACGCGTGTAAAGCATTAGAATCACAGTCACGCGTGTAGAGCATTAGAATCACAGTCACGCGTGTAGAGCATTAGAATCACCGTCACGCGTGTGGAGCATTTGGCTGCGATGAATGTCCACGCGACGATGCGCTACTTCGTCAAGCTCTCATTTGTGATACCCAGGTTGCTTCTGATAAAGAACTACATAGCTAAGTGGGCCTTACCCGGTAAAATAAAATGTAGTTTAATATTCTTGGTTCTTTCGGTAAAGTCACTTAGAAGGGAAACAATAAAATAATAAAAATAAAAAACAATAAAATTATCACGACGTTTCGACTTGCAACACAAGCAATCATCATCAGGTGTGAAAACCACAGCAAGAAAATTTGAAAGAACCAAGACTATGAATCCCTTCAGTCACGAAAGCTTTAAATCAAAATGTAGTTTTATATATATTTTATTATTTTGTTGTTTCCCTTCAACGTGACTTTACCGAAAGCGCTAAGAATATGTGGTTTAATGTTTTCGTTTTTTTAGTCAACAATTATTAATAATTTTCCGCGCTGCCAAAACGTTTCGCTCGTGAAGCACGGAGAAGTTGCCGCCCTGCGTGCTTCTGCAGGTCACAACGTCTATTCTCTGGTGCACGCCGGAAAGCTGCTCGCTTCGGCCGACCCCGTCCGGATCGTGTTGCAGCGGGAGGAACCGCCCACCGGCGCTGTCCACTCAAGCCACGCGGCAGCGGGAGCCTCGGTGGCGGCGCCGCCGGTGGCGCCGGCGTCCGCGCCAAAAAACCTCCCGGTGGACGACTCTGCCAACCCCGATTCGGACTTCGAGGATCTCTGCTTGGCGACGACGAACGAAGCGCAGGCGGCTGACGAGACTCCGCGTTTGGCTGCGGTCGGCCTCAAACAGTCGCCGGCTCCTCCGGCTCCTGCTGGTGCCGCCGCCGGTGCCGCCGCAAAGAACGCCTCTCCGGGAGGTTCTCCGTCGCATTCCGCCAAACCGAGGGAAGGAGCGGCGGCCTACTGCTCGAAGGCTGCCAAAGCGAGCGACGGCCGCGCTGCCGAGTGCCCGAGGGTACCCGCGGACGCAAACGCGTCCGAGTCTCAAGACGCGGGCGGCCCGAGCGGCCCGAGCGGCCCGAGCGGCCCCGTCAAACCGCCCGCTCCGCCGAGGCCCAAGGACAAGCCGGAATCCGCCCCCGACGCCGACGCCGGCGCCGGCGGTCCCTCGACGGCGCGGTCGGCGAAAGGCTCCGCGGAGCGGGCGGCGAAAGCGGCGGCCAAGGCGGACGCCGCCGGCGCAGAGGAAGCGCCGGCGGCCGCCAGGGCGGACGTGTGGACGTCGACCAAGGCGGCGTACGGCAACAACGCCTGCGCCTGGACCGGCGGAGCCGCCGGCTGCGCCGAGTTCCGGGTGGAGGACCACCACAAGTATGTGAACGTGCTGGTGTGGTGCCAGGAGCGCGTGGCCCCGGGGGCCCGGCCGGCCTGCGCCGCCGCCGCCGCGTGCGTGGGCCACGCGAGCGTCGGCGTGGACGAGATCGTGTCGGAGTGCCTCGACACGGGCTCCCTGCGGTTCTATCGCACCTACCTGCTGCGTCCGCCCGACCCCAAGCCGGCCGCCCTGCTCGGTCGGCCGCAGTTCAAGCAGCTTGCGTCGCACAAGGGGTTCAACGAGGAGCTGTGCTTCGGCGAGGTCACGCTGCACTTTTCGCACGCCTACGCCGACGGCTTCAGAGGGGCGTCGGCGGGGCCCAGGGCGGCGGTAAAAACGCGCGGAACGGGATCGCTGGACAACGACGCCTCGGATTCGGAGAGGGACGACGGCGCCTTGCGGACGACGGAGGCGTCGAGGCACGACTTCAGGGACGCGCTCTTTCAAAATCCGACCAACTGCGACTACTGCAAGAACCAAATCTGGACCAATTCGGGGTCCAGGTGCAGCCGCTGCGCCTACGTCTGCCACAAGAAGTGCCGCGAGAAGTACCAGGCGGAGAAGCCGCGGTGCTCGCGCGACGGCGCGGGCCCGGGGACCCGGCAGACGGACCGCCAGCGGCCCCAGAGCATGCACAAGGCGGCGGCGCTCGCTCGCAACCTCATCCCCTACGCTCGCAAACGCCTGCAGCTGCGCCCGGGAGCCAAGCGGACCGGCGACGACGGGCCGCCCGAGACGGCTCACGGCGTCGTCTGCGAAACCGAGGGCGCCGCCGGCGGCGGCAGCGGCGCAGACGAGGGTTCCGACGCGGCGGACGGGACGCGCCGGGGATCGGCGGGTGCCAACCGCGACGGCGGCCTCCACGACAGCGTCTTCGTGGCGGTGAAGGAAATCGGGCGGGCGCTCTACCGGGACCTCCCGAGCGCCGAGCGGCAGCAGAAGCTCGAGCTGATGCTGGAGAAGCTGCAGTGCGAGATCGAGGCCGAGCTGGAGAGGAACAGCACGCTCAAGCAAGACCCGGCGGCGGCCTCGGCGGCCTCGGCGGCCTCGGCCGACCCGGCCCGCGCCACGGCCGAGCTGATCGCCGTCGAGGTGAGGAAGTCCAACGAGCGGCTGCAGGCGCTCACCCTGCTCATGCTGCACTACCGCGCGGGCCTCGAGGACCTGGAGCTGGCGCGGGTTGACCCCCCGGAGGCGGCGCCGGAGCTCGCGGCTCGCTCGGAGGAGCAGGAGGAGCGGCGTGGCGGAAACCCGCGGCTCTCGGACGGCGAGGCGGGGGGCGGCGGCCGGGAGTCGGCCCATTGCGGTGATCTCGGCGGCAAGGCCCGTTGCGCAGAAGCCACCGACACGCGTCCGCAGGGCCCGAGTGCGGACGTCGCGCGCGCTGCTGCTACTGCTGCTGCGGCCGAGCAAGAAGAAGGTGGTGGTGGTGGTGGTGGTGACGACGACGACGATCAGATTTCGTTGGAGCGCGTTGATGTCGAAGGCCGCGCGGATGTTGAAACATCCGTTGCGGATCAAAGACTTGAAGGAACTGAAGAAGAGGCATCCGAGTTGGAGGTCGGCGATGATACCGACTGCGAGAAAACTTGAAAGTCAACGCGGGAGACGAAGCTATCGTAAGCTTACCCGGTTCACTTGTAAAACAGGGGTTTAAATGATTTCAGATTCTAACTGTGCACAGGGACTCCTCTTCTTACAAACTTTCAGAGATACGAACAAACGAGTGGGCTGTTCGGACCGAGATCCGTAAGTTCAACCGCCGCGCAATAGATGGCGGTGGTGGCTTCTACATCTGCAGAACGTGAAGAACCGGTGGCATCTACATCTACAGGAGATTATACAACTTTTAAAGCCATTTCCCGTGTCTTTTTATAGTACACGCCGTACAACGTGTTTGGAATCGACAGGAGTAAAGCTAGACTTGCGAACAAATCGACTTACGAACAGACCTCTGGAACCTAACTCGTTCGTAAGTAAAGGAGTCACTATATTTGGAATGTAAACAACGAGGTTTATTGCGGTTAACTGCTTACAAATGTAACTGGGAATTTTTATTTGAATATCGCACAAAGTTAAAACACTGAATGGCGAGCAAAAGCCTTGTGGAATTTGCCCGCTAGCTGCTTCTCAAGCCAACGCAGAAACCTAATGCACCAGTGCTCTCTTAGTCTAGTACCATACCATAGCATTGGGTTGCAGATTCCTACAGTGTTTTGTTTAAATGTATATATTTTTTGTAGACTTATTATAATATTAGAAAGCTATACATATAAATAACATTTACAAGCCGTAAACGCGCTCCGTTCGTCGTGACTATAATTAACTTAATTTTGTTGAGGAAACGGAAAAAAAAGCTGTTTAGTGGTGGGTGGCCTTGCCTGGTAAATTAAAAAATCGTGTATATATAGTTTGGGGGGGATAGCCTACCCCGGAATGTTGTGGACAACACTGTATGATCGTTCAATAGTCCCAAAGCCAACGCAGCTTTACTTCTACCACACGTGGGAACACTCTCTTCACTCTGCATCATTCCAAGGACACTTTGCACTTGAGTCCGAAATTACAGATAATTAATTTCTTTAGAACTGCTTTTTGCTTCAGGTGCTGTTATCCCCCCTCCCCTCCGACACCTCCGATTTAAAACGGTTGTTCCACGTACAGTGCTAATGACGTTCAACGTGCATTCGTACAAACCACACGGGCTGCAGGAAAATGAAGGTAAATTCACTAGAAATTAATGGTTCAAGATGAACTGACTTTTTTAATGTGTCATATCAATGCAGCGACGGATACGGGAGATAGCACCTCGCCACTACGAGATGCAGAAGAGATCATTCACAGTTCACCCTTATATCTCTCGAGTGGCCAAGGACACCTTTATGCAGTGTAGGTGACACTTTCCCAGACATTCCGCTGATGCATATGATTTATATTCTCGGAGCTGGGAATTCGGTACAAATTCAATGCAAAACAGAACGTAAAAAGTGGTCGGATCGGCAGGTCAGTCGCGGTGTGAGGGGTGGGAAGCGCGCGGGTACTCTTCCACCACTTCCCAAGATGTCCGGCCAGAGCGTGGAAGAGTAGGCCAAATACCCTCCTGGAGTGCTTCTCCTTAGAGGCGCCTCTCGCAGAGGGCCCCTTCTGCCGGCAGTGGCGCGGGCGGGGGCAGTTGGCATGCGACGTGCTTTTGCTAGAAGACGACGCCGCGGGGATTGTACGAGTCCGCTCGGGAGCAGACGGTTCGCTGTGGTTGGTGGGTGGCGATCGTGGGGAAATCCATTTGGTGGCCTCGGTGGGAGTTAAACTTTTATCGGCCTGTGATGATCGGCAGCTTCGTGGCTGGCCACCGGGCAAGGAGGCGGTCGCCGTCGTCGCGATGCGCTTTCGAACGCGCTTCTGCGGCCGTCCGGAACGCTCTTCCCTTCCGATATTAGGAAGCCACTGGAGCTATGCACTTTTTAAATATCGATTTTTTTATGTTTGGTTTGTTGTCCTTCCCCCGCACCACCGATTTAGCAGGGTTGACGACGTACGGTGCGAAAGAAATACAACGTACGTACTGTAGAGCAGGGGTGGGGAATGTCCGTCCCGCGGGCCGTATGAGGCCCGCGAAATAATTTGGTCTGTTCCAGCCGTCACATTGGGGGCGAGTTAATTAAATGTTTGATCAAATATAACAGGCTAGTTTTTAAGTTGATCATTTTGTATGGCCCGCGAATGATGTTTTAAAAATATCCAAATGGCTCTTGGCAGAAAAAAGGTTCCCCGCCCCTGCAGTTTAGAGAGTCGGGCGCGGAGAGTTTGTCAAACTCGGCTGAATGCCTCTGATTGGTGTTGAATCGCTGTTGTCAAAGTCCATAACACGTAATATGATATAAACTGTGGCTAAGCTGGCCACCAAAGTATGATTTTAAACTGTGGATTGTTTAAGTCTTGTGGGGTTTTTTTTTAGTTAAGCTGTTGATATGTTATGCAAGCATAAACTCCCCATTTCAAATATATGCCTCTGTATACGCTGCGGTTAAACGTGCCGAAATGTGTTCATATGTCACGTGTGCGCAGACTAGAGGTGGGCAGTATTGTGCGACTCCTCGACTGCATATTCTTGGTTCTTTCGGTAAAGTCACGTTGAAGGAAACAATAAAATAATAAAAATATAAAACAGTACAATTCTCACGACGTTTTGACTGCAACACAAGCAATCATCAGAAAGAACCAAGAATATGAATCCCTGCTTTCACGAAAGCTTGAAATAAAAATTCCTCGACTGCAATTGTGATCCCATTCCTAACGAGGTCGGGAGAATCGTGGCTACAAAATTGGGGGGGGGGGCGGGGGATGGGGGAGGGTGGTGGTGGTGGTGGTGGTCTGGGGAGTCGTGACTGGCCTAGCCAAATGTATGACACGTGCATTGGCCATACGTTGCAATGGCAATTCTGGTTGGCGGTAGCCGGCTAGTAACCGGGTCGACCACTTGGTCCTTCCCGATGAGAACCACCAGCAGCACTCTCATGGGGCCTCTTGGTCTATCACTCGGACTACAGACACCTCTCGGGACTGTGAATCGGACTGCTGGGACTATCACAGGTGCCACTCCTGACTACTACCTGGACCACCTGGACTACCTCTGGGACCAGTAGAACTACCACCCGAAGCGCTGAACCTCCCCCCTTCCCGAGCCCACTCGTGTACCACTGTGGCTACCACCGTGACCCACCAGAATCGCTGCTTAAGGCTACAACGCGGACCACTTTGTCTGGCAGTGCTGCCACGTGGACCACCAGTACTACCAGACGATTGGACGGACACAGACTGACCGACGCTCTCCTCGTGTGCACGCGTGCGAACGTCCCAACGTGGGAATCGCCCGCGGGACAGTCGCCATATCTGCGGGAACCGTTCGGGGAGGAATTTAATTCCGCGGGAGCCCCGCGGCCGTCGCGGCGACCGATGCCGTCGAAGTCATTCGGAAGCCCGCGAGCGGCGAACCTCTTCGCTGGGGATGAACGCACTCTGGTTTCATTTATTTAATTTCCCCCTCCACCGCCTATCTTAACACATTCCTGCGGAGGGGGCTGGTAGGAACGTTGGGTTGCTCGGGTCAATGGCCAGGGTCAACGGCGGCACCACGTGGTGTGTTCCGCAAATATGCCCGACTGTGAGGGCGGGCACAAGCCGGCGTGAGTCGGTTAAACGTTGAGTTTTATAAGGGCACCACGGGGTGACCAGCCCCTCCCCACCCAGCCCCACCCCTCCCCACCCCTCACCCAGCCCCACCCTCCCCACCCAGCCCCCACTCAGCCCCCACCCAGCCCCTCCCCACCCTCCCCTCTCCACCCAGCCCCACCCCTCCCATTTTTGGATGCACGACGGGCGGACACAATAATCCCTTGTGGGCTGGCTGGTGGTGTAACCAGGAGGCTCCTATATAGTAATACGGTGATTGTACGTATGTGGCCATTGTTTTGCCGACTCTATTTTTTTCTGGGTGTGAGCATTGTTGGTATCATTTCTTTGTCGTGGTCAATACGACCAGTATCAATAAATCACGAGGAATCAATGTCTTGGGTGGGTTTTTTTTTCTTCCGGTCTTGCAATCCCAGTTTCGTGTGACCCCCGTTAGCTTCGCCTGGGTTGCGTTAGTTGAAGGGTTCACTTAGGGAGGGGTAACTTAGGCCGTTTTGAGGTGTAAGCACTTACACCCTGGACGTCCCCGCTGGACAAATATACGCCGATCCTCGATGGAGCGGCCGTACCCAAGAGGGAATTTCCTTGAGGTTGATGATCGCTTCGTGGGGGACACGTCCTTCGTAAAACCCGGAGACTGCCCCGGAGGAGGCCGCGAACTCGAGCGACCTGGAAGAGAGCCGGCGGTTGGCGGAGCTGCGGTCCATTGGGCGCGGCTCGTTGCGAATAACAATTTACATTTATTTGTAAGGAGCTTACCGCTCGTGTATCAAGGCGCCTTGTAAGAATAAGGACAGAGATAGGCCCACGAGAGACGGAGACGCTGAATATAATAAACCGGCCTAAGAAGATGTCGTTTTAAGACGAGACTTTAAAAGTATCCACACTTGTCGGATGTACGAATTTCCAACGATCGGGAATAACACAACCGCGGCACGCAGGCCCAGCAGCAACAACGCACGAGAACTGCCGAAGACAACAGCGGGGCCTCCCCCACCCCGTGATAGAGGAAAGTTCCATCCCGTCCACGGTCAACCCTTGGATGGAGGAGAAAGCCTGCAAAGGACGACAAACCCAGCGTTCTGCAGGTCTTATGGCGGAACGTCCGTCGCCGTTGCAGGGGCTGGCCTGCGACACGTGTTCAAGTGTGCTGCTTCTGCTATGTTATTTTTTAATTGCTGCTGTCCGCAATGTTACTACAGCACAATTGTGCTATTCGTGGAATTTATGGGATGAAATTGTATTGATCTGCAACGCACACGGGGCATCGTAACGCCCCTTCCCAACCCCCGTTGTGTTATACATTGGGCCATTGAGGCAGATTTGTTTTTGGAATGTTATTTTTCTGAGGTTCATTTGAGTGACCTTGTTGATTTATTTCACGCAACAGCGGGACGTGTTTTTTTTGCCACAAGGGGCCCCCTGCTGTAGGAGAGACGCTCGCCGCATGAAAGTCGACTCGATGTTTCTATTTTTCTCAGAATTAAAATTAATTAACCTCAGTTTTATTTAGCTTTTTTTTTAAATTGCGACTACGGGATGCTTGTGTCGGCAACGCTGACCAGACTGCAACTCTAAACGAAACTAAAACACTGAACTCTATTTTATTTTACCAGGTACCACCCACCAAGC